CTATAATATTTTATGTCAAGTCGTGCAGAACTCGACTTATTGCACGGCGCGACATAAATTTCATTCTTTCAAAAATCGTTTTCTCGAAAATATGTTCGGAAACTAAAGTTTATACTGCGCCTAAAAAATACTCTTGGTCTAGTCTATAAACTCGGAAGGGGATATCCCCCGGAAAAAATTACCTGAACTACTTGGATATCCTTAAGATAGCGTCTCGGAGACATAACCTAGTGGTCCCGCGAAAATATTCCGATGCTATTGCCGTAAATTATCTTGAAAAAAAGAATGAAAAATCAAAAAATTTGGTCATTTTGGCCTTTTTCTATTTGAGCATTTTAAACCAATCGGTTTATCCTGCTGCGAAATATTATAGTACAAGGTGATACATAATATTATATACCATTCATGTGATTAACACTAGTATATTATATCTTCATATTAATTCTCTTCAAGAAAAAGTCGATAGCCATAGTTACTCGAATATTGAGTGCGCTGAGGAGGACTTCAACATGAAACGGTGGATACATTGTTAATGCTTTCGATTTAGTTGAAAATAGGACTACAAATTTATTTAAATTTTTGACTTACGGGATTTTCGTGTAAGAAAAAAAAATCGAAAAGACGCTGAGATTTCCCCATTGTGCGACCACTCAAGGGTTAAGTCTTAGGACATTTTGGCCTGACATTGAAAAAAAAAAAATTCTCAAGATGAATTTTATTCTTAATACTCCACTCAGTGAAAAATCACATGGGAAACAGTCAACCCTAAAAAGCCTTTCGTATCAGACAAAAACCACAAAGTAAGAGTTCACACGAGTGCTGGCAAACCACTGAAAATAATCGTATACATACCATCGTAATTCTTCACGTCCCGGATCAATAGTTGTTGCAGCAGAAGTGGAGAAAAAAAATTAAAATTCTTATATTAAGGATCTCTCGACGATTGTGGTACCAAAAAAAATTCCAACCGCAGTTTTGATTTTCGCCACTTGTTGGTCAATGATAGATTCAGGGGTGATACGCTAAGCTGTCCAAACAGGTCATCCAATCATTCTCCCCTAGTCCTGATTTAGAACAGGATTTTAATTACGGAAGGGTCACCCACAGCGGCTCTCGGCAATCTGAGATCCTTTATTTATGGTTCATCAGCTGAACCCCCGTATAAGTTCTGTCTCTTAACTCTTATCACAGAAAAATCGAGAATACATGCACTAAACTCACGATCGGAATAAACACTTCTCTTACATTACAAGTAATATCACAAATGAATGAATTCCCCACAATGATAATGCGTCTGATGCTCTGGTTGCATAAAATAAGGAATAAATTAGTCTTTGACAGGTAACAAAAATACAGTACAATGAAAAGTCCCTACGATTCATTGAGGTTTGTGCAAAAATAATTGTGGTAATGATGGTGAAGTTAATATGGTGGGCGGTAGAAACGCACTAGTACATTTGTAAACCCCAGAAAGGGTTAATGACGCTCTTCCCGGTTCATGCCCAGGAAACGAGTGCGTAAAACCACATCAGCATTCTCGATTGCACTTTGGCAGACCACAATAGGGCGACCATGGGTGCGATGGCATGAGTTGAATTCTGGATTTTCGATACTGGAACTTCCAAATGAAGTTCCCTCAATTCATAATTTCCATTCATCCGTGGAGATTCACGCAAATGTTGTGATGGATCTAATATTTGTCTTTGGAGAAGGGGTAAGTACATGCAATCGACGATGTTTCGACACTGGTTCGGGGGAGATCTGCTGGAGAGTTGGTGGTGACATCTCCGTGGAAGATCCTCAGAGGAGAAAAAGTGGAAAATTTTCTGCCTGGGGGTGGGGCTCGGTGGAGTTGGCAGGCGTCGATCTGGAGCCCCACCCCCTCGTGACTATGGCTCCGCCTCCAGACAGTCTCGTGACGTCACACGGACACTTGTTACGCCTTGTTGTTTTGATAGCATTTGAAGATTACAGTTGTTTGAGAGAAGGATTTTGCCTTGGGTGAATATTAAAATTAATTACTATTCAAAGCTAGACCCATCACTTGATGTCATATGTTAGAAAAAATCCTTGATGGGTTTTATTGAGCATAACAAATATTCTAAAAATTTTAATATCATCTTCTCAAGTCAAAAGTTATTTCTCTTCTTTCGTCATTGAAAACAACAATTTAATTCGACTATTCGAATCTCCGCGAATGTTCAACTTATCTTCAAAAGTCTGATGTTTAATTATGATAATCACGTTTAAATATTAATTATAATCGTGCTATCATAATAAATTCGCTGCAGCCTGTCATATCGGAGCTCTCGAAAAATATGTGCCACTCATTCATCGTGGGAAAGTACCGATAACACATAGAGTGCTGAGAATTTGGCACTAAAAGGATGGTTGTATTAACACCACCATTTCCTGGACTCAACGTAACTTTCGAAATATCTCAGTAAGAAAAACCCATCATTAATTTCAATTGGGGCTGTACAGACTTTTGAAACAAGCTGTTGAATTTCGTAATGAAGCAGAGTAATAATATCAAAATGAAATGAAAAGAGTAATCCACAGTAAGAGAATTTTGTATTTTTCCTGAAATTTTTCACAGAATTATTGAATCATTCTAGAAACTGATAATAGTATTCACCTCTGTGATGTTCAGAGGGATACAGACGAAAATAAACTTCACAACATGGATTAAATTGTCTTGAGGCCGTTGAAAAATTTATTGTATTTCTCGTTTTTGAACGAAATAGTACTGGTTGTTAATTTGAAAAAATGTGAAAAAATCGTCGGAGGTTGGATTTGAACCCACGACCCTCGGGTTTCCAGTCTCAGCCGTTACCCACACGGCTATCCATTGATAGGTATATAACACGAATTCAATTCAATCCAATTATTCCTTAAACGCAAAAACCAAGAACCAGTCCCTCAAATGACCCACCAATGAAGTGCCACTGAATTAATCAGGATGACCATGGGAGAGTAGCAGTGGTCTGAAGGGTTTTATCAAAATGGCATGAGAAGGGGCTAGAAATCTTCTTCAACGTTACTAAAATATCTTGAAGCCATTAAAAAGGTTGTATTTCCCATTTTTGGCCGAAATAGTTCTGGTTATTAATTTGAAAAAATGTGAAAAAATCGTCGGAGGTTGGGTGTGAATCCACGACCCTCGGGTTTCCAGTCTCAGCCCCTACCTTTTTTTTTTAAAGAATGTTTATTTAGACCAAGTGGAACAGTTACACGTACTATGTCACAGTGGGTACGTTATTTCCGTATAAACAGACAAATAAAAACGGAATTATATTTTTTTATAAGTAATTAAGAGATATTGTATGAACACAGTTGCGTTGCTCGTAATAATCATGTAACGGGATTTGTGTTATGCACTATATTATTAAAGATTCTTTCATTTTTGTTGTTTAGTCATTAAACAAATCTTTTTCATGTCATGTTAAATTAAGACCAGAAAATTGGTCAGTAAAAACGGGCTATCTCAGCCTTTACACACACGGCTATACACTGGGTATATAACACGAATTCAATTCAATTATTCCTTGAACGCAAAAACCGAGAACCAATTCCTCAAACGGCCCACTATAATGAAGTGTCACTCAATTAATCAGGATGTCCACAGAAGAGGGGCCACAAATCTTTTATTTTACTAAAATATCTTGAAGCCGTTAAGAAGGTTATTGTATTTCCCATTTTTGGACGAAATAGTACTGGTTATTAATTTGAAAAAATGTGAAAAAATCGTCGGAGGTTGGATGTGAATCGACGACCCTCAGGTTTCCAGTCTCAGCCTTTACCTTTTTTTTTTAAAGAATGTTTATTTAGACCAAGTGGAACAGTTACACGTACTATGTCACAGTGGGTACGTTATTTCCGTATAAACAGACAAATAAAAACGGAATTATATTTTTTTATAAGTAATTAAGAGATATGATATGAATACAGTTGCGTTGCGCGTAATAATCATGTAACGGGATTTGTGTTATGCACTATATTATTAAAGATTCATTCATTTTTGTTGTTTAGTCATTAAACAAATCTTTTTCATGTCATGTTAAATTAAGACCAGAAAATTGGTCAGTAAAAACGGGCTATCTCAGCCTTTACACACACGGCTATACACTGGGTATATAACACGAATTCAATTCAATTATTCCTTGAACGCAAAAACCGAGAACCAATTCCTCAAACGGCCCACTATAATGAAGTGTCACTCAATTAATCAGGATGTCCACAGAAGAGGGGCTAGAAATCTTCTATTTTACTAAACTATCTTGAAGCCGTTAAGAAGGTTATTGTATTTCCCATTTTTGGACAAAATAGTACTGGTTATTAATTTGAAAAAATGTGAAAAAATCGTCGGAGGTTGGGTTTGAACCCACGACCCTCGGGTTTCCAGTCTCAGCCTTTACCCACACGGCTGTCCACTGAGTACATAACACGAATTCAATTCAATCCAATTCAATTATTCCTTAAACGCAAAAACCAAGAACCAATCCCTCAAATGACCCACCAATGAAGTGCCACTCAATTAATCAGGATGACCATGGGAGAGTAGCAGTGGTCTGAAGGGGTTTATCGAAACGACATGACAAGGGGCTAGAAACAGTAGAGGGGTCACCGGCGCAATAGAATTCTTCAAAACCCCGTCGCTGGGGTTTGGGTTGAATGTCTGCTTTGAAAAGTGGCGCGAGACCAGAGAATTCCGTCAGCCAGAGTGGTGGTATTGAAGTTGTGGTAGGGAGGCGCACAAGCCGTGTGCGTTTTCGTGGTAAGTGGGTGGAGGGGGGTCTGACAACGAACACTCCACTCACTCCGATACTGTTGGGAACAGGGAGAGAGCGAGTGAGCGAGCGGTCGGCGAGGTCGGAGTGCTGCGCGGGGGTTTTGGGCCGTCCCGAGGATCCTCTCATCGTCGCTCCAGCTGTATCCCCCCACGAAACACGCGGACTACGTGCCAAACTACCGCGGCATTACGTCGCGCGCCGCCGAACGCGACTGACTGCTGCTGAATCCGTTCATCATTTTTTTTCCTCGTGGTGGTCCGATGTATCGCGATAACGCGACGTTTATTATCAATTGAATTGACTTTACCGGGGGTATAAACATGGATGATGGTGTTGATAATTCTGTGCAGACTTTTTACTTTATATATCGTTTGAGATGAGAAGAAATGTGAGGGGAAAAATTGAGTGAACTCTGCAGGAACAGATTGGATTTTTGTGATTAGTGATTTGTGTCGATGTGAAATCAGTTGATGATGATTTTTCATCGAGTCTTGTGATATTAGAAATTATTGAAAATCTTAGAAAAGTCGTTTTCCTCTGAAAAACTGAGTCGTTAAGGGAGAAATCGTGAGTGAATCCGCAAGGTGATTAAATTAATTCGAATGTAATTGATTAATGTTGAATAAGTGTACGTGAGAAATAAATCGTGAGTTACTCGGGGGAGACTTCGGGGCGTAAACACGCCGATGGGATGCATCTACCGGTGGACTCGGTTGGCTGCGGGGAGAATTACGATTCCGTCGGTTCACACGAAGGCGCCGGTCTCGTAGGCTCCTCCCTGACACCACTCCGAGGGGTTGACACGAGGTATCACTGTGAGGAGGACGACGGGGGTGGTGGTGGTGGTGGTGGTGCTGCCGGGCCTGGTGCGAGGGGTACCGGTGGAGAAATGAGTGAAGGTGCCGCCGTCGGGGAATTGTGGTGGACTGAGAGACTCGTTGGTGAGGCCCAGGCCGAGCATCCCGGTGAACTCGTGAGGACAGGTAATGCTGATTGGGTTGAGGAATTTATGCCTGAGAATAAAATTTCGAGTCATTGAGGACCAGTCACTGCAGACGACTTCCTAACTTCAATATATTACATACGCCTTCAAGGAATTATAGAAAAACTCATTGCCCAGTTCAGGAATTCAACCCTGACGTCAATAGTCCAACTATAATGGCAATCATCCCCCGACAAATCCATAAGATTAATTCTTAGAATCAAAATCCCGATCTAATCTTCAAGCACTTTCTCACCACTCACTCTCAGCTATTTAATCCAACACCCTAACACCCCCCTAAAAAAATCTATTTTTCCAGGTTCACCCTATTTTTTATGCAGTCAACTCCCGACGCATTGGCGATCCAACAAGACCCTCCCAGTAGCCTTCAAAGTAGTGGCCCTCGGTGACATAGGGGATGGCACCCTAGTGACTGTACGCGCTGGTAACGACGAAAACTGTTGCGCTGAATTACGAAATTCCACAGCGCTGATGAAAAATCAAGTAGCCAAGTTCAATGATTTGAGGTTCGTCGGACGCAGTGGAAGAGGTCAGTCAAAAATATTCATCAAATATCCCGTACCTTTTGAATCAAAGAAATATTAATTGAAATGTCATCCCCCAAAATGATCATGATGATGATGGGAATCCCCCTGTTGTACAGAAAAAATCAATCGTTTCGCGGTGGCGTATGGATATTCAGAGAAAATGATGAAACATCTGGCAGTGGCATTCTGCTATATTAGCCAAAAAGCCCATCCCCATGTACTCCTCAGTTGACCCTCCTAGAATCACGGTTATTGTAATCATCATCACCATCATCATCGGGTCTGCGCCCAACCTCCGGTAAACTCATCCCCCTACAGCCCCCCCTCCTCCCCCAACCTCTCTATGCGTTTTCTATCTGGCTTTCCCCTCACTACCAAAACTCACTCCACCAGAGCTAGCTCTCTCCCTCTCACTCCTGCCAGCCACCCCAGAGTCATTACTCGATGTCCGCTACCGACCCCCGAATGGGTACGTGAAACAACAAGCCGTTAATCAGAAATCATCGTGGCTGGAGGACCCCCCAGTGAGACTAGAAGTCTCTCAAAATCACGTTATAGAGATTATTTGGACAATTTCACATCCCTCAGATGCATGAGCGAATTATCTGCATCATTGATCGTTGGATCTCTGACAAATGATTGAAAGAACAGGAAAATATGATCGGGGGAATCCCAGAACGCTTGTCCACAATCCGCTATGGTTAGTTATCAATCTTGAAAACAAGCTGTCCGGAGTTTGTATCCAGTGGTGAAGGGCTGAAGTGAGATGAATAGAAAAGGGATGAGGGTTGTGGACAGAGAGCGGCAATCTGTGTGTTTCTGTTGTACAGTAGAGAAGCGATGCGTTATAGATCGACTGGTCGTGCGTTTCAAAACGATGCGATAGTGACTCGCGAATGGCATCATCTATCTTTCAGGTGCTTTCGTCATTTTGACCCCTTTCCATTGTACATATGTGATGTTGAGGACTATTCAGGGATGTTGCATTGGGTTTTTGAGGGGGCCAATGGTCTTTTATTGATGGTTAAGCGTGCTGGTATTTTTTGCCAGCAAATATTGATTCGTTTGATGATGGGGATGAAATTTTGGAATATATCACAACTGGTGGAAGTGTCTTCTTCGTTTCCATCAACTCTAGACTTAATTCGATGTCAGATACAGATAAACATCAGTCCTGAGCACAGCCTCGTTGACAACTTCAGTTTCTTTGACAAGGCGAATGTTTTGGAACGACCAATTCACTGCAGTTGCCCTTACAAGTCTTCAAAATTGCTCAAACATTCAATGATTCATTAGAAATTCAATTCGTCCAGTTCATCATACCGGTACACGTACAAATGGTGATGAAGTTTATATCAAATCTTCAACAATTTCCGCCTTTATCGTAACCTCACAATCTTTTTTTCCATGAAAATCCCTCCCCGATAATAGGTAATCCTCAATTTCGACGATTGGCTGAATCGCCTGCGGATAAACGACGTAATACTACCGCGAGGCCAGTTTGGCGATATAGTGAGCTATTGCAATTCGCGTTTACCCCAGTTCGCGGTGTATGTTTCGACAGTTTATTAATTTGATTGGTCCTGTGTCATCCTCGGACAATCGTGATGCACAACATATTCTACTGGTGGAAAATCCAAAATCCGTTCGCTGATCCCATCAAAGCTAAAAGGTACATCATCGTTTGTGTTCGTATTAGTGAAAGATACATTCTACTATTATCTTTCCTCTTTATTCCTCTCGTCTTTTCTCCATAAACATCAAAAAATTTGCAATGCATTAGAATAATTGAAAGGCAGATTTATATCCCAAAGTGGGAAGTATTTTGATGCGAGATTGCTGATCTAAATTCATCCCACGGATTGTACTAGAATCCCCTAATTCCTCTAATATTAACCATACAATTATCAATACCGGGGATATTCTGGAAATTACCATCCAACAGTAATCATTTGACAATTTCACGGACACATCCTGAACAGTGCGAGTGGTCTATTCCAACATTTGCTCTGTTACAATATTCCGTACCTGGGCTATTGCCCATTTCACCCTCACGCTTATTCCCATTTTCCTTTAGGGCAGATTGCAGAATCATTAGTTGGTCTGCAGTGGTTGTGGATATTCTAAGGGTCACGAAGACACAAAAATTCTAATTTTCTTTCTTGTTCGAAATGAAGTTATTGACGACCAAAGCGGCATTATGAGAAGCTTCTCGTAAAAGGGTACGTAATGGTACTAGTCTCGTTATATTTTCTCTCTATATTTTCAAATCCATAACGTGGCTGCTTAGCGCAGGGGTTAGACACTCGACTCACATGCGAAAGTTTCCGGGTTCAAATCCCGGCAGGTGAAATTTGTCATTGAAACGACCTCAATTGAAAACAGCATCAAAGTCTTGATCAGTCAAATATAAAAAGTAGAATAGACTGTTCATCCGTCAATATGGATAAACTAACAATTGCACTTAATCCCCCAGCTTCCCTATTCCCGGCCTGGGCTATTGCTCATTTCACTTCCGTGTTTATTTCCATCTTCCTTTAGGACAGATTTCAGAATCATTAGTTGGTCTGCAGTGGTTGTGGATATTGTAAGGGTCACGAAGACACAAAAATTCTAATTTTCTTTCATTGTTCGAAATGAAGTTATTGACGACCAAAGCGGCATTATGAGAAGCTTCTCGTAAAAGGGTACGTAATGGTACTAGTCTCGTTATATTTTCTCTCTATATTTTCAAATCCATAACGTGGCTGCTTAGCGCAGGGGTTAGACAGTCGACTCATATGCGAAAGTTTCCAGGTTCAAATCCCGGCAGGTGAAATTTGTCATTGAAACGACCTCAATTGAAAACAGCATCAAAGTCTTGATCAGTCGAATATAAAAAGCAGAATAGACTGTTCATCCGTCAATATGGATAAACTAACAATTGCACTTAATCCCCCAGCTTCCCTATTCCCGGCCTGGGCTATTGCCCATTTCACTTCCGTGTTTATTTCCATCTTCCTTTAGGACAGATTTCAGAATCATTAGTTGGTCTGCAGTGGTTATGGATGTTCGAAGCGTCACGAAGACAAAAATTCTAATTTTCTTTCATTGTTCGAAATTAATTTATTGACGGTCAAAGCTGGATTATGAGAAGGTCCTTGTAAAAGGGTACATAATGGTAATAGTCTTGTCATATTTTTCCTCTATATTTTCAAATCCATAACGTGGCTGCTTAGCGCAGGATTAGACACTCGACTCACATGCGAAAGGTTCCGGGTTCAAATCCCGGCAGGTGAAATTTGTCATTGAAACGACCTCAATTGAAAACAGCATCAAGGTCTTGATCAGTCGAATATAAAAAGCAGAATAGACTGTTCATCCGTCAATATGGATAAACTAACAATTGCATTTAGTCCTCCACCTTTCCTATTCCTGACTTGGGCTATTGCCCGTTTCACTTCCACAAATTCTAATTTTCTTCCATTATTCGGAATAGAGTTATTGACATTCAAAGCTGCATTCTGAGGAGGCCCTGATAAAAGGCTGCACAATGGTACTGGTCTCGTCACATTTTCCATCTATACTTTCAAATCCCGGCGGGCGACATTTATCATTAAAACGACCTCAACTAAAAATAGCATCAGTCTTGATCAGTCGAACGTAAAAAGCTGAATAGACTACTCATCCGCTAATGTGCATCAACCAACCAATTGCATTTAATCCCCCCAACTTCCCAATTTGACGTCATCAGTAGTCCCTCAACAAGGATAAATGATGCAATATGGGAAAGCGTGATGAAGCAATCCAATCCTCACCCTCTCCAGAACTTCGTAGACACGAACAGGATAGGGATGGTTGAACAGACCGGAATGTTATAGGTGCCACATACGCGTGGCCCGGTTTTATCTGTCCAGCTACTGTCCACCTCCCGTTCATTCTCATCCCTCACCTCATACCTTCCACCCTCCCACCCCCACCCTCCCCTCCCACCTCATCGTCACTTCTCTTTCCTCCCTGTTCTCTTCCTCACTCACTCCATTTACGTCCAGAACGTATACCTGCATCAACACAGTGCAGGATGATAGTGTGCACGAGCCACGGGTTTGGTTCCCTGTCTCTGCAGATGACCGTTCCCATCATCGAGTATTAACCGCAGGTCCCGGGCACGGGGATAGCCGGAACGGCCAGGCATTATTAGCCCCCAAATGTGATGGACCCCAACAACTAGATCTCTCTCCCTCTCAGTTTCTGCTGCTCTACGTCACTCGTAGCACTACGTTTTCTATTTTTTCCTTTTCTTGTTTTTTTTTCTAACCTCTTTTGATCACTCCTCTCCGCCGCCATTTGAGGTTAGAACGCTCGTCACTAAATGCTTCGAATCATTGGAATCATGACTCGTTGATCCTGTGGCTGGGGAAATTAATTTTTCCATTTTTTATCTAATTAAGTAATTCGTTTACGCATGGTAAAACGACTTTGCGGAGTGATTGTATTGGGATAGAATATCCGATGTGCAACAAACACGATATTTGGCGTGCAGTCATTTGCAGTTGTCCCTAGGGCAAGGAAGGAGTGGAAGGGTGACAGGGGGTGTTTGATGCCAGTTATCATGTTGACAGACACAGCGGGGAGAGTTTCGCGGATGTAACCAACACGGGATTTTGGCTATACGGGGGGGGGGNGAGGGGAGACAATTATAAATCGTTGACATTTACGCCCTGGTCACCCGATAACGAAATACAACGGAGTCATTTCTACAGAAAATCCAGAAATTGGTTGAGGTTGTTCGTCAAGAGAAACATGATGAGACGAAAATGACAACAAGAGACAGGACAAAATAACATTTTTTCTCTCAAGGAGCAATGAGACAAAACGAAATGAGAATTAGAAAGTGAATAATTTCCCGTATTTTCCATCTTCAGGATTTTTTTACGATCATCTTTTTCGCATTTTGTAATGGTGAATTTTTACGAAAACAAGACGAGAGATATTTTTGTCGTGTAGATTCTTATCTCGTCTTGTCTTGTGACGTGACAACTCTCATTGTTGAAAATGAAAATTGATTAGTCATTTTTATTTTGCTCACAGTCCATGAAATCTGTTAAACAAAATATGATTTACAATGCAAGACAGCAGGTTTCATAAAAATATATTATAGTGTATTACAACTTGAGAGAACCTAGAGCACATTACGAGGCCGTTAAGACAAGCTGATGCCCCTCTCTCACAAAGGACTGTTGTAGCCACCTCTCTACGGGAAATAAAAACTCTGGGAGCGGCGAATTACCAAATGCATATTAGCCAAGCGACGGGCGCTCTTTAAGAGTGCGTAGTCAATCTTTCCGTCGGACATTTATGAAGAGGGAATTAATATACCGGACCTTCAACCTTCGAGACCTTCTTCAGTGATATATGCATCGGGCTACAACTCCACCCGTGGTACACCCCTCACCTCACTCACTCCTGCGTATCAGTTTCTCTTTCTTCCTCCAATTCGCATCGTTAAACTTGAAGAAGTCGCTGTTACCTAGATCAAAAGGAGAATCTAATAAAACTTTCGGTAGTTTCTACTACTGCTTAAATGTTAAACATTAATGTCACACTCGGGTTGGCCGTATAACCTGGAACAAATGCATTTTTATTGTGGAAAAAAGGAACAATCTCTTAAAAAATGATTTCCCACTGGTGATTGATGACCCATTAGGCTCCAGGCAATTACCGCCTTTTGCGGTGAACCAACGAGTGAATGGCGCTGGCGACACCTGAATTGTTTTCCAGACATTTTCCATCCCCCCGCCTTTTTTTTCACTCGTCTTGGAATGTTAAATGTCTCGTGAAAGAGTTTGGAATATCGTTTACACTTTTTAAAATGTTGCGACGAGTTGGGTTGGTTAATTAATACTTTTCACTTTTTCTTTCAGGAAAAAGTTTTAGTATCACCATCACTGTGTCAACGTCACCACCTCAGGTGGCGACTTATACTAGGGCAATCAAGGTGACTGTCGATGGCCCCAGGGAACCTAGGTCCAAAACAAGTGAGTGAAAAATCTGTAAATAGAGAATTATGAAGAGAAGAGGAAGGATGGGTTTAAAGTAGAATAGAGGTGAGAATGTACGAAAAAATTTTACGGACAGACCGAGTGGATTTGCTAAAAAATTCTGTTGGATTCTCCTGAATTTTCCATTAGTTTTTCACTAATTGGATTGAAAAAATCTGCAGCTTGTCTTCGCGTTTTCTTTTGCATCAGAAATTGTCAATGAAATATTCTATAGAAGTCAATAGATAATAAATTCAATAGCGATCCAATAAATTTGTCTATCGATTTCGCTAAATTTTTCTACGAATTTTTTTCTTCTTTTTTTTCTGCCTCTTCAAATTTTGATATTAAAATTTTTTTGTCATTGTCCAGAGCATTTAGTATCCAAAAGTAACCTAAAACCGATATAATTCAGGCTGAAGTCAGTATGCGGTAATGACCACGTCATTACCGAGCAGATGGTGCACGATGATGCAGTGGCCAAAATTCTCTCTCCCAAAATTCAGGGGCACGTGTGCTTGTTTTCGTTCTAGTTCGTGTTTTACGCATGTATCACTCTCTCTCTCTCTCCTGGACATAAGCTCTCTCCCTCTGTCATCGGCATCATCAGGCTCCCCCTCATTTCCCCTCTTTCGATTTTCCATCGGATGTAGTTGCACTAGTGCTGTCGCTTTTATGCACACGTTAAATTAGTACCTAAAATCTACTGCATATATGAGGTATTGGGGGGTTTGAATCAGTGTTTCACGCCATTTGCCATCGACTATTTCAACGAATAGGACCTTTTATAATGCGTATTGTAACGGAATGGTTGATTCAGTAGTCCTGCGTTTTCAAAGTGCAGGATGTCCTTTCAATCTCATTTTGGCGTCATTTGGCGGAAAATTTTCGATGAAATGTTCAGAATATTGTGCTTTCATTGGTGGAACAGGGCTTTTTAGAAATGTATTTTTTAGATTTTTCACGAGTTTTTCAAATTTTGCCTGAAATCTTGAAATTTCACAAGTTTTAATGATTAATTGACCCTGCAGTCATTAAATAAAAGTTCAAAAATGATAGGCGATGTGAAATTTTGTCCACGTTTCGACCTCAGATTTCGAGGTCGAGGTCCTCATCAGGACAAAACACCACTGTCTTAATTTCTAAACCATGAGCAGAAAATGTCACTAGTTAAATGTCAATAGTCACTACTTTTTTTTTAATCTTTGTTTTACATTGCTTCGACCCGGTTAGGGTATGCTGCGATGATGATCAAGACTTTAAATGGTTAGATCTCACCATTCTACCCGGCCGGGTATTGAACTCGGAACCTTTCGCATGTGAGACAATGAACTTATCCACTGCGCCAAGCCACACTGATAGAACGGATTAGTTATTGTTAACGAATGGATTTTGGTTGGAGGTTAGGGTCTATACGGTCTCACCAAATGTGCATTCGTTAACAGTTAACGAATGTATATTTGAGGAGCCTTGTTTGACTTGCCTTTCGCCATTCAAGTGAACCATTCGTTAACTATTAACGAATATCCATTTGGTCGTATTCAACTCTACGATTCGTTGATAATTAACGAATCTCGTTTGGAATAAATGAATCATTCTATCAGTGCACCAGGCTAACAGTCGCTACTGGTCATCATTAAAATTTAAAAAGGCCAGAAATCGAGGATCTCAAGCCATCAGAACTCTTTGTACAACAATTAACACAACAAGAAATATTGGAATTATGCTCTAACCCCCCCCCCTCTCTCTCTCTCTTCATTTAATAATATTAATTGGAGAACACGTCAATCCCCGATGTTTTTGTTTAGCGGGATGAGAGTTGATTTAGAAATAAAGATAACGGGCTTTTGTCGTGAAGACTTCGAAATCTGAGGTCGAACGTCGACAGAATTTCACATCATCTGTACTTGTGGATGTTTTATTTAATGACCGCAAGGTCAATCAATCCCAGACCGTTCACCATAGCTGCATTTTTGGTGGCAGAGGATGTAGAACTACTATTAATTAACCACCAATTTGTTAAAAATTGTAAGATAAAAATCTGAATGTTAAAATGCTTAGTCAGATCTAGTAGGTATTAGCTTTAAGCAGAAGATATTTTATCAGTTTCCATCTTTTTTTGTAAATAAACCATTAGGGTTGATACGCATAAATAAAAAAAGGCCAATCAATCCTTAATTCATTGAATTTACGGCGGTCGATAACACAATATATTTACATACAATTTTTTATTCTCCTTCAATTGAAATTCCGAAGATCTACCTGCCATTTAAACCCGCAACCTTCTCATTATTAAAATCATTGCACATCATTTATTGGAAATTTCGAGAGGAAAAATTTCCCATTCTCTCAGTTTTCTAATTGTAAAAAAACAATGCTTGAACGGCTTTGAAAAACATATTGCATCTAGACAGCTATGTTGACGTACATATGGGGCTGTCGTGCACCTCGAGATTGACGCGTGTTTCTATGAACCCAAAATACGTGTGTAGTTTCATTTGATCGTCACGGAATCCTTGAACAATGGTGTTGTTATTTTTCGAGGGAATTTAGGGAGAGAAAACTGGATGGCTCTCGCACGAGAGGGGTCCTAATATGAACAACAACCGCCGGCTCATTGTCTACCCAACAATGCGACGCAAAATCTACCCCACAATACACCTGCCACCACTCATTACTTCCTTGTAATAATACTGCGACTAAAATTGCGACTTTCTTCCATTTTTTTTCCCGTTGCTTTTTTTTATCTCCTTCTGCTGAAATCAGTGCCTCTTTTATGAAAATTTTTGTCAGTTGGGGGAGAACGGAAGGGCCAAATTATTCTCTTTGAGCTCAGGTGATATAAGACCGGAAGGACAAATTTTTTTTTGATAATAGGAGAATTTTCTTTTGAGGCATTTAACACTACTGTTATTCCAAGAAACAATTTTTTGTAATGGGATTTTTTCTTTCAGGAAAACTTTTTTCAACACACATGAAGGAATTTCATTAATAAATCTGAGGAATTCCATTTTTCTATTCAACTTTTTCTATTGAAACACTTTCTATAGGAATTCCTCAACAAGAATTTCCCAATTTTTTTTTATTCCATTTTTCTGTTCTTTTTACAAAAAAAAATTAAGGAAGAAAAGTGAAAAATTTTAACCGAGGAATTTCCATAGAAAATATCTCAATTGAATAAGTTGTATAGAATAATCGAATTCCACCGTTTTTTCTATAGAATATATCCCACTGAACATTTCCATTGAAGCAGATAAGCTGTAGATTTTTCCAATAGAATCGATCAAAAATCAATAGAAATCCAATAGAATTTCCTACCAAATCCGCTAGGTTTTTCTACATTTTTCTTTTGTGAATAACCATTCTTCAAATTGCAATTGAGACTCACCCCGTTGATTTAAGAAGGACGTAAGAAAATAATGGGAGGGATTATTAGTAGAGGAAAGCCGCGCTATTTCCGTCCTCCAGGGCCGAGGGACTTTGATAAGATAAGAATACCCCGTAGAACTCCAGCAAACATTGACGTCAAATTCACACTATTCAAATGAAGTGATTGTCCACATATGAAACATACAATTCTCCATGTTCTTAAAGTAACTGGAAGCTAACAAATCCAAACAGATGTCCAGACCTTCGCCATGTAACCTTCCCTATTATAAAAAATCCCCAATACGATAGACAAGGGACTTCCGAAAATATCATACAAACCATTAATAAAAATGAAGCGTCAATACGAATTTCCAAACAATGAATTTTTTCCTGACAAATGCATGCATTTTTCGAGCAATATTTCAAATTCCTCAGAGGCTACTTCATTTTGGGTGAAACAACAATCCACGGAGCCTATATAGCTCATCAAAATTACATCACCCAAATGAAGCAGAGTGGACGGCATGTGCGGAATGCTATTGAACTCCATCAACACAAGCGTTCCAGTTGAAACTCTTAATTATCTCAATATCATCTTCATTTACCGAAACATGCGTCTACAGGCTGTCATTGAACTACCCCAATGACAGCTAGAATAATTGAATGCAAGTCCGTGAGTCAATACTAGGGCTGAAAATATATAGAACAGGTTATGGTTTAATTGCAGGACAGCAGCATCAGCAATTTCGTGCACTTGGTCTGGGACAGAGGCCATATTTGGACGCAACGTCTTCTTTTACATCACAGTTGCGAGAACTGCAGTCCTACAGGAGGAGCAAGCATCATCATCACCAGGGCAGCCATCTGCATGGCCAAACCGGAAATAATACGAATAACAATAATAATAATAATAATAATAGTGGAAGCTGTACGGGTAATCCGAACAATGGAAATCCCAGCAATTCACCGAATTCTGGTAGCCATCTTGGAAATGCCACGGGTCATCAGGATTGCTTCAAACACAGTCCGCAGAATGGTGAGTTGTTGACGATTTTCATATTATTGTTCAAGTTTTTGGTAATTTTTCAACGAAAAATAGTGATCATTATACTAATGGATTATTCGGCCATAATACGGCCCATAGTTGGCAGATTCGGCGACTTGTCGCCAAAATATCTGGCAACACAGTTCAGTTGAAAAATATTGAAATAAATCAATATTAATTAGAGAAATGCCGTTAGAAGGGCGGCGGTAGGTCATCCGGCGTTAAAGTGAATCAAATTCGACGGAAGGTGACGGAACTCCCGGTAGCTCAGTAGGTAGAGCACCAGACCGGCAATCTGAAGGTCACGAGTTCAAACCTCTCTCGGGCATTCCTCATTTTTTTCAGAAATTGATTCACAAATAATCATAGTTTCCAGATTCGGCGACTTGTCGCTAAAATATCTGGCAACACAGATACGGTCATACATGTTATACATGTTATGAAGGAGGGATGCTATATGCAATCCATTCGCCTTCAATGTTTCTATATGAAACGACCAATGAAGCTAACCTAACCATTTAAAGACTTGAATTTATTTCCATAATACAATACCTAACACACGAGGGGCCGGTTACTTAGGAAATCACTGGACCACTCGACTGGAAATCGAGGAAGAAATCACCAGAAATCAATGGAAATTACTGGAAATCAAGTGATTTCCATTTTCGGTAGTGATTTCTAAAGATTTCTGGAAATCATCGGAAATCAATAGAAATCATTTAAAAATCAGGTGATTTCCGAAATCATTAGAAATCATCGATAAGTGTAAAATTTTGCAGTTCCAAGTCTACAATTTTTGTTATGGTATTGGTGCGTTCGAAATCATCCAATCCCGAAATGTGACGCTATGAAATTTTTGACATACTTACAATAGTTGTTATTGTTATCTCTGAAGAGGAACGTCCGGCCGTTGATTTTAACGTTTTTTCTGCTGTTTGTGTCAAATTTAATGCGGTTAGCTATGTCTTCATACATAACTGGTTTATATATTAACGAGACTAAACATTATTAAAAAATTAACAACCAAATGATAGTTAGTCCAAATAAAATTCTCTCGATAAAATTATTTTTTTCTGATCAGCCCTTCATAAGACACAGAAACAATGTCAAAATAGCTCAATCCTCGGGCATTCTATCTCCGTCGTCTCTCCGAGGGTCCAGAAAAACCATCTAAAATTAGACAGAGTGAGATACGGAGAAGTGAGACGGCAGACGTCCGCCGTTTCGCGAGGTAATAGTTTCATACCTCGTTCCGGCTCTGCACCCTCTAATTCACTGTAATAACGACATTCAACCTGCTGTTCCATCTCTCCCCAACTCCCTTCGGTTTATACACACTCAGCAGCATCCAACACCGGCCGAACAGCGCACAAGCCCCTGATGCATTTCATCTCTCCCGTCATTCCGGTGGTTCTCTGGTGATCTATCATTCATCCTTGCGATGAAATCGATTAAATTTCATGCATAGCTCTATCGACCTAGAGGTCTATAGACCTCTAGAGGACACGCGATTAACCCACAATCATCAAATCACCAAAAAGTTATCTTCTTAAGGAGTTGTCAGGCAACCAATGATGAAGGAATTACTCGCCTCAATAGTCTTCCAATAGCCTTCCCTCAAGTAAAAAAATGAGAATGATCAAAGAGCACAAGAATGACCACTTGTTGCCGAAAAAACCCAAATGACAACGAGGCAACGAGTGCGCGGTCGCTCAACGTCCCTTATTTACCATTTTTTTTACTCGTTATACCGCGCAGAATGGAAAAGAGCCTGCGGGGTAAACGAGGTAATTACAACAGTGGCCGATCTCGGCAGTGGACCTCAGGGAGAAGAAAAATAAATAAATTCTCTCCCACTCCATCAGTCACTTCCACTTTTCTCCGGCCAGTTGTTCGAGTCTCGTCTTGGAGAGGAACTTGAAGCTCTGAGGGTAGCTTTTCACAGTTTATTCTGAGCTTGTGTATTAGCTTTGGAAAAGGTCGAAGGCACAAGTGAAGCTGAAACCACAGAGCAGCATCAAAGGTGGAGGCTCCAACGGAGGAAGTATCGGACGTATCGGGGTCTACTTAACTTTGAACGGGTCGTGACCGCTGATGGGAGAAAGCTTGTTGAATTAAAATCATGTGATTAAAGAACAATCGATCGGTCCTCTTGATTTTCAAAGGTATGATCCGAGATTTTGCGATCAAATAAAATATTCAACAGTCGTTGAAATCAAATTATCCTTCAATCGTCGAAGGACCACTCATCTGAATCCCAAAAAGAATATCGATATGAGAAATAATCCAAACAGGAGAGGCCGTTGGCGGTGCGAAACGATTTTACGAAGCCCTCTCTACCAGAGAATCAGATGCAATTTTCTCGTTCTGAAGTCATCACAGAGTCTCATCGCTCGATATTCGCCACCAATTCTTTGCCCAGCGAGAAATGGTTTGTATCATTGATGTTGGCCCCATTGGTGCAACATCACACAAACAGCCAACCGACGCTTAAAGGAAGCCCTCATCACGTACGCTTTCTCAACTTACACTTTGGCTGATGCACGTCTGCGTAATACCAGAGAACGATCGATCGACTTCTTCCATCGTTTCACGATGTGTAGACGAGGAAGAAAGGATGAGGCATTCCGGTTCATGTTGTTTTTTGCACAATCTTACTTGGTTGTTTCTTTCAATCATTTTCTTTCTACACTTCAATCAACCCATCGACATAAAATTGTTGACAATGCTCTGCATATCTAGAACAGTTCCCATAGGAATACTTCAACAATTCCTGAAGAATTCAGCATGAGTAAAGGAAAACTTTCACAAAGTACACAAGTTGGAGAAAAAAAAAACAAAAGTATATGAAGCAGTCAGAAGAGGCCAAAATATCCGTATAAGATACCTCTGATCATGAGGGTCAAACGGACTGAAGACCCATTTTCCAGAAGAATTCAGAATGATTAAAGGAAATGTTTCGTCAAGTACAAAAGTTGAATCAAAAAAGAACAACAAAAGTAGTCAGAACAAATGATCCACTGTCTCTTATAATATAACGCGGTGTCCGTTTCTCGTTTTCTCCACCCAAGAATGAGAAACAGAGATTCCCTCATCTCGAGTCGTGATCGGGGTAATGAGACCCGGTACCCCCTCCAAACGAAACTTCCTGGGAGGGGAGGAGGTTAACCCAAAAGAGATGAAAGAAACAAAGACAAGAGTCTCCTCAGGACTCCATCAAAAAAGGTGATAGGGAGAGAGGAACTGAAAAAGAAAGGAACGACAGAACGAAGAATAAGGAGATAGAATGTGAAGTAAGAGATGAAGAATATATGTACCTGTATATACATAAAATAGTGGTGGGGGTAAGGACTCTGATTATGGGGTGTCAAACAATCATCACTGATTGTACATTTCTGACTCTCCTCCCGTGTTTTCTGAAGCATCTCAGTAGATACTTCTAACGTTTTGCATCCTCTTGTTTTATACCTTTCTTTTTCTCTTTTATTACCACCACTACTATATCAACTTGGGTAACACCAAGAGGTAAACGAGAGACAGAGACAGTGCGATGGAAGAGAGGATATCACCCAGTGGATAATCCAAAATGAATCCAACCGTACCAGTGGAAGCTCAAACGGTAGTGGTTGCGGGTGGAACAGAGTATAACATCTCATTCCAACTCTTTTCATACAGAAATATTGCGGAGACTTCTTCCTCTCTTTTACCTATTTACCATGATGCCCCCAGCCACTTATCCCAGGTGGCAGTCCAGGAGACGAGATCTTTCCACTTCAGACATTCTGAAGACGTCGTTTCCCACGTGCTCAGTTTACTACGAGGATTTGTGAAAAAATTACTGGAATGTGACTATATTCTTAGTCTTTATCCTCATCCTTCTCTTCTTCTTCATTTCGCCTTTTTTTTCTCCTTTTTTTCGTAATGGTTCTTTTGATTTCAGGGAGGAATAAGTCCTCGGGTACTTTGACATTTTTACCAGTTTTCATGATTGTCTTGAGATGTTTAAAGTGAGATGATGCAGTCGCACAATGCGTACTATGGCGAAATAATGTGGTAGGACTGATGATAGAGACATGATTCTTTTTTCAACTGTGTTTATCTGAAATTGTAGCCAATTTTTTTATTCTCTTCTTTCTTTCGTGTTTTTCTCTCTTTTTTAGTTTTTCTAGATCCATTGAAGTTATTATTTTCTCAGTTGAATTGAATGGCCATTTACTCTAGAATTATCCTCGCCCCTATTTTTTGAGATGATGTATTGTATCATTCATCAATAATCCTCCTTAGAATCTTTCTCATGTGATACCTCTGATATTCTATATGAATTAAAATACTGTAGTAAATAAGAAAGTTTTATTTAATTAGTCTTGTTCCCAAACGAGCTTGAAAGATTTGTCACGCGAGGACAGTAGCGTCGGTAGGTACAATCTACTGCGCCATCACCCGAGAAGAGTATGAATCTCGGAGAATTCAAAATAAGGGGGTTAAAAGTGCAAAGCACAACAAAACACGAATGAAAACTCAGTAATCAAGTTTTTATAAGTGATAAATAGAGAAAACACTCAAAGTACATCTGTAATAAGGCGAACTAAGCGTTGTACATATGCCCCGTGTAATTCTGATACTCGCTACCCGGAGGATACAGTTTTTTTCATACCATTTCCAAAGTCACATGTAGATGTGGAGAAAAGTAGACGATGATTGGGAGCATGCAAGTGATCCAATTTTACCTTAGATAATAACCCAACCATTGAGCATCCTCATCTATGAAAAAATCGTATAGAAATTTTCTATATGGATTGGGTATAGAAATTCTATAGGATTCCGTGTATGATGTTCGGATACTACTATACGAATATTTTCTATACGAATTATTTCTATACATAAATTTTTGTTTTCATACGAAAGATGTCTAAACGCTAGAGAGAAAACCGTAATGAAATGTCGCAACTCCATACGAAATGTTTGTATAGAAAATAATAATTTGCATAAAA